GGAAAACTTTTGATTAAACTAGTGGTTTTGCTTTCTTTGGAAGTCATTTTAGACATTGGCTAAAGTTTGCTTTTTGTTTTAAAATCCATGAAAGTCTTGCTTAAAGGTTTTTTGGCCTTTTAGGAATTTCAAGGAGAAGTTGATCAACTAAGGATTAGATTTTGGGAATGAAAGCCAAATGAGATGAAGTAGGGGCACTTGATTCTGAGAGGAAACTCAGAGGTGCCCAGAGCTGCTGCCAAGGTTCCTAAGGTCAAGGCGTGCTGTCAAAACTTTTGTACCAGCTATCTGAAGGTTTTGGTTCGCTGTCCAGGGAAGTTTGCACATGTTTTCTTGTTGTCCTGCCATTTGGAAGGACTTCAAATGCAGCCCGGACGTTCTAAGTTGCTGATCACACGTTCAGGAGGAGTCTTAGATGCCACATACTTCCTCCCAAGCCTTCCTACAGTCGCGGGAAATCCGTATTTTCTGATTACTTGGATCATCATTGCATGTACGTTTTACATTAGACATCTTACAATCAGACAATGCAATAGATCACTCAAACTCCTTTAAACTGCCTTGATTAATCCATCGATTTATGGGTGATGAGCAATTGAAAATTTTAGTTGAATTTTCATTTCTTTCATACAGTTTCTCAAAAGCAACGCATGAATTTTACATCTATATTAAATAGAATGGCTTTAGATTGCATATGCAGTTTAATCACTTTATTAAATATTGTTTTGTTATTTGAGATGCTTCGATAGTTATAAAGCATGAAATGAAATGAGACATTTTCGAAAAAGGATCAATCACTACAAATACAAAATCACGTTTTCTTATAATTCATGATAATCCTAGAACAAAGCCCATAATAACATCTAAAGTAAAATGGGAGGTGGTGATTGAAATGAACATTGCCCTCTTGGTGGAGATGAATGTGGGAAAATTACTGAAATGAGGAGGGGTGTAGAAGAATTTTTGGAGGTGAAGGAGAAGGACTAGGGTTGACTGGGGAGATGTGAACCCAAAAAGATGAAGACTAGAGTTCCTTTTTTTTTTAATGAGTATAGACTAGAGTTCCTTTGGAGGTGAAACCAAAGTCATGGGAATTTTCTTTACTTTTTGTAGTAATTTTATATTTTTTTTCTTAAGGAAATAGAGGTGGATATGAAAGAACAAAAAATCATGGGCGGTGGAAATGAAGTATGTAGCATTGTCATCATAATCACTCCAACCAAGACCACAGAAGCAACTAGTCTACATGAAATGCTATTCCACCTGGAAACAATGAAATGGAAAATAATTGAACTAGCGAATCCAAGTGTTGAATTGAAGTGTTGAATTGAAATGACTCGCAAACTAAACCTAAAGACGTAATAAAAAAACTGGATAATACAATCCGCTATCAAAGGAATCATCACAATAGGTATATTTTAAAAAAGAAAATAAAACTCAAACTTATAATACTCATCTTAATGTTCACATTTTTGCTTCCAACGGATATACACTTGAAATTTCCATCACATTTGAGAAGCAAAGAGAACGATTTTGAAGTCAACTCTATCTAGAGCATGAATTTTGGAAAATATTTATTGAATCTCCTTATTTTTCCCTCGTCAACCTCAATTAAGGTATTCATGAGTACATCCATAAGCTATTTCTTTCCTATTGTATTGATGGATTCAAATTTGGAAGTCAATTTGTCACTAACAACAGCAGATATGATGTATTTTCCATTAGGATAAACAACAGGTTTATAAAAGGATTCCAGTCCCATTGGCTGAATCTAACAGTGAATTCAATACGGAAACTGCTGATTCCTCCACGAAAGAATCAGTTACACATTGATTAATTAATTAAATTCTCTCTAACTTCCTTATTTGACAAGTTCCTAATTTTAACTTCATCTTCAACCTTGATCTAAGAGAAAAAAGAAACAATATGGGGATCTACTAATTCTGGAGTGGAGTACAAACTGTGAGGCAAAGATAGAGCAGTATGGAATTACAATTACAACAATATTGTCTGAAGAAAAGGGAAATGATTTCACCCCAAGACTGAAACTGGCCCTTCCAAATAGATTGAAGCTAAAAATATAAGCATGGTTAATACAATGAATTCAATCAGTTTGGGAATGAACTTCATGTCATCAACAACCAACCACCTTGGCCTATAATATTGCTTATAATAATTTTATGCTTGTCCAACGAGTAATTTTTCCAAACTTAGAAGTGATAAGCTGTAGAAAATTCCAATTGCAATAACAATAGGTAAAACTACGCATTCCAATCCACAGTTGGCATTTTTTTTTTTTCTTGAAAAGGCACCAATTTCTCATCCCATTTGTCAAAAATGATGGAAAATCCATCTAGCTTCTTTAATCCTTTTTTAAAATGAAAAAAAAAAAACTTGTTCAAAAAAGGATCGGGTAGCAAGTTAGTCAGAGATATGGGGAAGGAGGATTCATAAATCCAATGATGATCATACAACGGTGGTGGGGTCTGATTCATCCAACGGGTAGGGTTCTAGTTATGTAGACCTCTCACTGTCCAAGTCCAACACAGCAAGGTAATCAATTCATGTCAGTTTAAACCAGGCCTAAATAAATGTCCAAATTTGAACAGAGGTGCAATCAAATCAATTGATTTGGATGAGTTCCTGCAATTATGCCTTGTTCTAGTTGGCATGAAAGGAAGAAAGGCAAGCGTTTGTATTAATGGAGGGCACTGCATCATATAATGCAGGATGTTGGACACAACTGCATCCACGTGTACATAAATGGGTTTTAAATTCTAATGAAACGTGAATGTTACCATTATTTTAGCAAGAAATATTGATGGTTGTTCTTATTTTAGAACAATGACAGAGCAGAAAAATTCGCAGTCATGAAACTGCAAGGCGCTGAAGTGCAGTGCCAAGACAGCTCAAAGTTCTGACTGGGTAAGAAAATTGCAGACATACTGGCATATTTATATCACAGTAGAAAGGTCAACATGATTTAATGGTTCTTTCCTCTTTTACATTTTTTTTCTACCATTAAATTTGCTGAATGGATGCAATTCTAAGATGAGTGCATGGACGTTGTATGTCTGTATAATAAGAGGGCCGGGGTAAAGTTTAGGAATGTTGCAGTACACAATCCATGCTTAATCAACATTCACAACAATAATTTTGCATAGCCTAGATGCAAATGGAAATCCAAACTGCAGCACAGAAAATCGTGGGAGTGCTCCATACAAATACAAAAGTAGAAATAGATGTCAAATCATAGCATTCAATTAAACTATCTGTATTTGGTATCAATAGCAAACTGCTCAAATTCATAAGACTTATGAACTGAATTAAAGTTCATATCCCTTGCAAATGTGTTGATTTTCATTTTTCAATAACTCACACGTAGTGCTGCATCATTGAGTTGAAGTTTTTCCAATGCATCACGCAGCTCAGGAAATCTACCAAATATTCAATAAAAAAGTTGTATAGTTTGAAAAGGAGTTAAAGAAAAGCTTATGATAATTACAAACAATGACAATAAGATAGTAAAGGAAATACTGGTCTGCGTCAACAGGAAAAAGACCACAAAACACCATAGGTGTAGCTTCCTCATATCCTGGCAGAGAGATCTCCGCTTTTCTTGCAAAATGAGTAATTGTGTCACCCACCCTTGCATCTGCGACAGACCGTATTGAGGCTGAAAGATAACCCACCTGAAAAGGCAAAACCAAGAAACAAAGAAATTTGAATGTAGAATACATACATTTTACACAATGGTAGGGAGCCCAGAATATAGGGGAAGAGATCGGATAGAAAACTATTTAGCATTCAACATATAAAGAGGACAACCATGAATGAAAGTTTTGGCATAATTATTGAGAATTTTGCAAAGAGCCTTTTAGTAGACTCTGCAGAAGTGCAGTAAGTTTTTAGCCAAACCAAGAGAATTTCAGAAAGAAATGTTCATATTTAGATTTATGGAAGAATGAATTCAAGTGAACAAGTGGGAAAAAAGAGAGAAAACTTGCCTCACCAGCATATAGTTTATCCACCTGCAACTGATTGGGTGATAAGACACCAATTTCATCAGCAAAATAATCCTGTTTTTAATTTATTAAACGTGTCAATTAGCAGTGCTGAAATCATCAGCAAACATAAAATATTGAAAAAAAATACTGAATGAATATATTTAGTGCAATATTTCTGGATGAGAAAAAACATCAAAATTAGTTAAAATGTATAAAATACAGAGCATTAATCGTTATTTCTGTAGTTATTTGTTATTTCAAACAGGAGAATTTCACTTGCATACCATAGCAACACTATGCTTACATATTTGTCCACAGCAACTATTCTGAATGATCTAAAATAATGTTAGTAAAATAAACCATAGATGCAGCGTACAACATGAATATAATTTGGCGTAACACCTTATTAAGTAAACCATGGTTTAAAATTGCGCAATATGAGGCTCGCCTTGAGGCCCGTCTTTGCGCAATTCCAGTAAACAACGCCTCGATGCTTGCGCCTCGAGTTTTTTTTATGAGGCTTGCGCCTCAATTTGGTTGAGGCCCGCCTCGCCTCACTAGCATGAGGCCAACGTTTAAAATTGCGCAATAAAAGGCGCGCCTTGAGGCGCGCCTCAGCGCATTTTCGACCAATTAAGCCTCAAAGCCTACGCAATAAGTTTAGTTTATGAGGCTTACGCCTCAAGTT